GGGGGAATGCTTGGCCCAAACTTTTTTTCCTTCCCCTTCCAGCTGCCTGAGCAGGCGTTGCTGGGAGATGTAGTTGCCCCAGGCCTGGATGGGGTCCCCGGCTGCCCTCCTCCGCTCCAACTGGGAATTCAATGGCACAGGCTCGACCCTAGGCTGCCCGCATACCCACTCTGTAGATGATGCTACGTGCCCCGGTTTCCCCAGGAATGCTTGGCCCAAACTTTTTTTCCTTCCCCTTCCAGCTGCCTGAGCAGGCGTTGCTGGGAGATGTAGTTGCCCCAGGCCTGGATGGGGTCCCCGGCTGCCCTCCTCCGCTCCAACTGGGAATTCAATGGCACAGGCTCGACCCTAGGCTGCCCGCATACCCACTCTGTAGATGATGCTACGTGCCCCGGTTTCCCCACCTGTACAAAAGGGATGGTTTCCCTGGGCTGCCTCCAAACTCACCCTGCACTCAACCCTCCTCTTTTTCCATCCGTGACTTCAACCTGGCTCAAGCCCCAGCATCATTCCTTTCAACAGCCCTCCCTCCACAGGACCTCATCCTGTGGTCTCCCCAGTGCCACTCCTGCCTCTCCCTCCTCACGCAGCTTGCTCAGAACCTCCCCAGCCCACATTCCAGTTACTACGGTTGTTTTAACAAACTGTCCCAAAACTTGGTGTGAAGGGCTGCTCACAGCTGCTGTGGGTCAGGGACAGGGACAGGGCAGAGCTGGCATTGCTGTTTGTACTCAATGGAGAGGGTCCCCCGGCAAGGGGTGGCACAAAAAATGGGAGAGAGGGGCAGCAGGTTCACCTGGAGTCATCTTAAGTCATTCGTTGTATCAGTCAGCTTTTTGTTAGGATAATGGAAAACCTAAGGTGGGTAATTTTATAAAGCAGAGCGGTTTGTTTAACTCACCGTTCTGGAGGTTCACCAGCTTGATGCTGGTGAAGGTATCAGGCTTCCGGCATCACAATGCAGAAGACAGAGATGGAAAAGAGGGGCCAGGAAGAAATCCTCTCCCCAGACAGGGAGCCAGAGAGTGATCCAGGCTCGCCATTATCACAACCTACACATCCCTGAGAACTGCCTGAAGGCACAGCCAGCGGCCTAAGAGCCTCCCTCTTGGCCCCATCCCTTAACGTGGCTACAGTGGATACCAAGCTTCCAACACACGAAGCCCTGCGGGCTGCATCGTGCCTACACTGTGGCACAGGTGTTTGATGCCTGCCCTGGCAGGAACCTCCACTACAGCTGTGGACTAGGGCAACTACATGGGCCTTTTCATGTGCCCTCCACTTCCTGTCAGTATGGTGGCCTTGGGGTTCTTGGACTTCTTAGACAGTTGCCCAGGGCACCAAAACTGAGCAAGGCAGCCGCTACATTACCTTTTCTGATATACTGGGCATTGTACTCTGTGCTGATCAGCACCTGACACCGGCAATTTAAAGGAGGAGGGCTTTAATTTGGCTTCCAGTTTCAGAGGGTTTAGTCCATTTGTCAGCTGGTTTCAAAACAGAAGTGGCAGGATGGGGGAAGGGCATGGAAGGGAAAACTGCTCAAGCCATGACAATCAGGAAGCAGAGCAAGCAAGGAAGAGCCCAAGAGGAAAAATTAGGGTTCAGGTACATCAAGGTCGTGACCCACAGCCCACCCAGACACTCCCAGAAGTACACTTTTCTCATGTCCCAGACATCTCTCAAGCTAATCAAGCTGACAGTCAAGATTAACCATCAGGCACTCTTGTCATTTGCAGCATTAAGGATGGGATGTAGACCTACATCTCTCAATGGAAGTCATGTCTCATGAGCTTGGATGGATATGAGATCGGAGATGTTCTGGCAGAAATATAACCAAATTTACCTCTGTGTTCCCTACTTCATGCAGTGCCCAGGGTGGACCTAAAACTGAAATCAGATTATGTCACACTCCTGCTGATAGTCTTCCTGCGATTGGTCACCCTCACCCTGAATAAAATCTACATTCCCACCATAACCTACAAGACTTCTGGTCCCATTTCTTTTCTGCCACCTTTACTCTCCAGTTTCCCTTCTGGTCCTTGTCATCAAGCTCTTCCTGCCCCAGGCCTTTTTTGCACACGTGTGTGCACTCGCATGCACACACGCACATGCACACCCACACACATGCACACACACACACTTTTTATCTGAGAGACCCTCAGGTTCTCCTGAGATTACCTCTTGTTCTTTAGGTCTAATGGCCACCTCCTTGGGAGGCTCTCTTTCTGCCTATCCTCTGCTGCCTGGCTGTTATTACATAATTTTGTTTCCTTTCTACTATTGTACCACAGCTTGGATTTAAGAATTGAGTGGTCTGTTCATTTATTTGCCTCCTCCTCTGGGTTAGGTTTACCTGTCTCTCACAGCTGAATGTTCAGATAGGAGATTAGGTGCCAAGAGGGGTGGACATAGGGAGGGGTGAGTGTGTGTGTGTGTGTGGTTTTAATGTGTCTCACTATGGTTCTCTATCCTGCTTGGAGTTCCTTGAGCTTCTTGGATGTGTGAATTCATGTCTTTCATCAACTCTGGGAAGTTTTGGGCCATTATTTCTTCAAATATTCTTTCTGCCCCATTCTGTTCTGTCTTTAGATTCTTGATTTCTACACATCCCTTAGGCTCTGTTCATTTTTCTTGGATAGGTGTGTTTGTGGATAGTTAGTCTGGAAGAGGGTAGGGTACACCCTCCTCCCTGACAGACCTTGTGCAGATGCCTTTAGGCAGTGGCTGACAGTGAAGAGTGAGTTGGAGGTCAAGACTTCAAAGCTCAGGTTAGGGACAGATCTAGTGTACCCTGGAGCCTCAGAGGAGATAGGGGTCACAGTAGCCATTGGTCCCACCTCTGTTACATAAAATAACTAAGAAGCACCCTCAAGCTTGGCACAGGGGTGCATGTCTGTAGTCCTATCTACTTGGGAGGATGAGGCAGGAAGATCCTTGAGCCTAGAAGTTTGAGGCCAGCCTGGGTTATACAGTGAAAACAAAAAACAAAACAAAACAAACCCCTCATTCCATATAATATTTATTATATTTTGTAAACCTGTTTGACACAGTCTTTGTCTTTTTCTGTTGCATTTATTTGCCTATGTGTAGCTCATTTAATTCATCACTGGCTGTAATTGTTGAAAAGTGAGAACAAATTATTTGCAAATTGTATATTATGAAATGGTTGTGAATGCTGAGCTTCATGTTTAATAAAGTTTGTAAACTTATTCTTGTGTCTTTTGGAACTTTTAGAGCATGTGTACCTGTGTGTGTGTGTGTGTGTGTGTGTGTGTTTCTCTTTCCTCCAGATGCCCTCATTAGCTGCAGGCCTCATATGCTGTGCATTTCAAGTGCCTGATGGATTAACCAGCCCCTGGCACATATAGGAATTTGTTGAAAGAGCAAATGCCAGTGGAGAGGGATGGTTAGGGTTCAGCAGAACTTTGTACCTTGACAGCAGACAGTGACAGTTGGTGGCTAAATACCACAGCTCCCTCGACCTTGATGTGAGGTGACTGAGGGGCATGCACTACACTGTCCCCTGGGACTGAGGTCCAGCTGCCCACAATGGAAACTTGCTTAAAAAATGTTCCTTTTACTGACCTTCACTTCCCTGTCTCCATTCTCCACCTCCAGTATTTCCTGGTGGATCACTCACCAAATATACCACTTGTAGTCAAACCATTGCCTCAGGGGCAGCTTTGAGGGGATGCCAAAGAGACATTCTTAGCTATCATCAAGAAATCAGATAAGTGCTAATAAGGCTGAGGGGGCGAAGGAGCCCGGCTTCATTGTTGGTGGGAATGTAAATGTAAACCACTGTGGAAATCAGCATGGAGATTCCTCAAAAAGTTAAAACAAGAAATTCTAATCACCCAGCTATTCCCCTCCTAGGTATCATATTATAGCGATCTGTGCATACCCATGTTTATGGTAGCACAGCTCATAGTAGCTCAGGCTTGGAAGTGGCCTATATGTCCACCAACAGATGAATGGATAAAGGAAATACGGTACTTATACACAGTGGAGCACTACTCTGCCATAAAGAAGAATAAACATTAGTCATTTGTAGGAAAATGGATGTACCTTGAGACCACAATGTTAAGTGAGTAAATCAGACACACAAGCTTTATTTTTATTTTATTTAATTTTTTTTTGTTTTTTTTTGAGACAGGGTCTCACTGTATAGTTGAGACTCACCTGGAACTCACTATGTAGCCCAGCCTGGCCTCGAACTCACAGTGATCCTCCTGCCTCAGCCTCCCGAGTGCTGGGATTACATGAGTGCGCCACCATGCCCAGCAGACACACAAGCTTTAATATCACATAATTTTTCTTATATGAGAAACCCAAACTATAAACAAAAAGCAAAATAAAAGATGGTAGGGGGAAAAAAAGACATTCTCTCTAAGCTTTGGTTTCCTCATTTGTCCAAAGGGAAGAATAATATCTGTTACCAAAGCTGTGAGGATGGCTGTGTGTCCGTGGGGCTAGGTCCTCTGTTACGGTTTGGATATGAAATGAATCCAAGGCTCAACTGTTTGGGGCCTTGGTCCCCCAACGCAGCATGTAAACATCTGGGACTTTGGGAAGCAGTTGGATCACGGGTGCTCAAATTTCCTTAGTGGGTTAATCCATTCATGAATTTTATAGGCCATTGGGCTATAAAATGGGGTGGGGCCTGTGGTGGAT